GGAAACTCACCTGCACTGCTGAACTTGCTGATAACCCTCTACTGCTGACTGGAAATTCCCCGACTACTGCTTCCTCGGCTCCCCGAGCTACCAAGATCATAATATTACTTAGCTCAATATCATAGTCTTTTCTCAGGGTAAGATTACTATTTTACCCCTACCCTAATATAGTCCATAACTAAGGCCCAAACATAATATATAAAGGCCCAAACCCTAGGTAGGCTTCCCAAGCCCACTAATGCCCAATTTGCTACATTGGGCCCAATATCTTTATTGGGCGTTACCCTAAGCCCAACACCCATACTTGGCCCATATTCCCTGACTCCTGATGGCCCACTAAGGCCCAAAGACCCAAAGTCCAAAGCACAGCCCACACCGAGGCCCAAATACTTAAGGCCCAAACTGGTAGCGTTACGCGGGGCGTAATTCAATGTACGCTGGGCGTACAGGCTCGATGACGTGTACGTTGGGCGTACCTGCACGTACGCTCGGCGTAATGCTCTGTTAAGTCCTTTCTCTATTAAGAGCTGAATACCTCGATTCAGAAGCTACCAACTCAGATCCAAGTCTTATTTCACGTCTTAAACCATAAAGTTGCTTACTTTATGGCTTCCTTGACTCACATAAGCCCCAACTCCAAAAACCATAATCTATTTCCATGGATGAAGGTCTTAACCCATGCTTGAACTCATATAAGTCCTAAAGGTTGGAACTTTACTGCTTATGGGACACATATGACTCTAAGGGAGGCAACCCTGGTCTTAGAAACATGCTTAAGTCTCAAAGACCCATTCTTGGGACCAAAAGGTCCATAAACTTGTACTAAGAGAGATCTAAGAGAATAATCATCAAGCTCAAAACTATTTACCTTGTAGAGGTCCGAAATGAAGCACTTATCCCAGATCTATAAGCTCTAGCTTCCAAGGTTCCTCCTTGCCAATCTTCTTCTTTTCTCTTCCAAGCTTTAAACCACCAAAATAAGCTTTTCAAGGTCAAGATCTCACAAAATGAAGGTTAGGACGTTCTAGGGTTTCTTCTGAGGTTGGGGAGGCTGATATGGGAGCTAGGGTTGAAGCCATTATGTTCTTTATATAGTGGCACTCCCAAAAATAGGGTTTAGAGGCTGTTAGCGTACGCTGGGCGTAATTCTCGTACGCTGGGCGTACGCCTTAAAAACCCGCGATCTTTTGCCCCGCTACGCTGGGCGTACACCAGCCTTACGATGGGCGTACCCAGCTAAACACGCGTGCACTTTGTGCATGCTAGGGACTGCCTTGTAAACTTTTCCATTAAGGGCCATAAATGTCAATATCTTCAAAGTGTCATAACTCCTTCATTCTAGATCCGTTTCCGATGAACTTTATATCCACGGAAAGGTGACGAGAAGCTCTACGCGTCTAACAACACTCCCTGGCCCAAAACCTTCTCGAATAATACCTCTAGGACTCTTAAAAGACTAGAACGCCCCTAGCCTTGGCCTCTGAAATTCTATAATTGAGTAATTTAGAACAGGGCGTTACAAACATAATATACTTAACTTATCAATTTAAACATATTACTTGATGTAAAACATTATCATTTTAATTATACAACTAATTGAATTACTAATTTAATATACTCAGTTTGTTAATTTAAATAAACTGTTATAGATGACATATATTTTGTGGGATGACGATGTAACATAATAGTCATGTCAAGGTCATAATGCTACCTAAGACGACCCTATTGATTAGAGACCATGTGATGACAAACCATCTATCTTTTATTTCCTTTTTTTCTCGGTTACATGATACGAACGAATGTCACTTCTAAATAGATATATAAAATGATCAATTACTATTATTTTAAATGATTGTGTTCTTTGATGTATGAGGATCATAATGTTGTTTAGGACGGCCCGCTAACTAGAGACCTTGTGGTGGTGAACCATATGTCTTCTCTTTTTAATTTTTTCTCGATAACATGATACAGAGGTACAAATTAATGCCACTACTAAAACTTATAGATATATAAAAAGATAAATTAACTATACTTTTAAATAATTATGTTCCTTAATGTATGATTTATTACATTAAACTATTGAGTAATGTTTTTATAAAGTTTTCCTGAATTTAAAGATTTTAGAAAATATATTATCCACTTTAACAAAACGATATTTTTTCAAATGAACTTTATTTTAATAAGTTTTAATTACTTTTAAAAACTAACAAACAAAATAGACACTTATATTCGAATTATTATAATTTAGATATATATATATATATTATATATATATATATATATAGATCTATATATATATATTCTAAATTTAAATAATTCGAATATAAGTGTCTATTTTGTTTGTTAGTTTTTAAAAGTAATTAAAACTTATTAAAATAAAGTTCATTTGAAAAAATATCGTTTAAATATCATTACGTAAATATTATCCTTTATAAGTTTAAAAAATAATTTTTTTAATAAAAAATAACTCAAATAAAATATTATATTGACATCACATTTCAATTAATCATTTAAATATTATTAGTTAAAAATATAAGGATTTTAAGATATAGTAATTAACAGATAAATTAAAAATGTTTTTGTAGTTCATATTAATATGGTTCAAAATAAATTAATATGGTTTAAGATAGATAATTATTTTCATTTTTAAACCATATTAATTTGGATATTAAATTGGATGAGTTTTAGTTTACCAATGTTTGCGCATGGTCGATGTCTCTTTTATTTATGCAAACATTAATTTCATCCATATTTGATCATTCTAACAAGTAACAACCATACCAAGTTTGATAGCATTTTAGGAATAATATTTGAATATGTTAATTCGTCCTTTGCTTTAAAGGAATGTAAGAGACATTCTTGCCTTGTGGAAGCATCTCAAATTGAACATGGTTGCACTTGCAACACATGTTTCAATATGTCTCTAACAACTTCTATGATATCCTCTCTGCATGCCATTCCATATTTCACTGCATTATTTATTTGAAGGAATGTAAGAGACATCTCATTTTAGTGAGTATTGAGATCTAAAACTCAGGTTATCCTATGGCTTTTTTTATTATTATCTTTTTTTTTTCAAAAATCACTTTCATTCTCAGGAACTAAAAATGCAATAAAATATGCTTTAGAGGCCACATATGATAATATATAATAAAAAATAATAATAATAATAATAATAATAAAAATAATAAAACCAAACATTTTCGTGCTATATATAAGAAACCATCGAGATTAGCTTAAGAAAAAAATCACTCCTTGATACCCACCACTACCCTAGACATCGGACCCACCACTTTCTCCTCCCTCTCCCGTTGCCACCTCCTATCGCCGAAGTTGCTACCTCCTACCACCAGTTTTTTTAGAGAAATTATCATCTACCATTTGCTTTCTACCAATGGCGACGCCCATCACCACCGCACCGTCGTTGACGTCAAACCCACCGGCGTCTCTTTCTCTTACCAGCAACAAAATGACTGTCTTCGTCGCTGCCACCTACTACAGGTTTTTTTTTTAACTCCCCACTAAACTACAACTACAATGTGTGTCCTACCACCGGTTTTTAGATGTGAAGAGTGTATAGTGGTTATTGTTACCGCTATTGCCAACGACCTATTGTCGCTGCGTCTTATCGTCATCGTTGCGCCATGCAACATGGCTATTTCTGGCAACATCCATTGCTACTGCTATGCTCCTCCCATCGACTTTCATGATGATGCACACAAAGTGTTTGATGCAATAACTCAATTAAATAGGAAAGTTTTAAGGGGAATCTAGACCTAAGAAGTTTCAAGAAGTGGTCTAATCAGTCCCTAAACTATTTTTGTTGCTTTTTAGAAGCATAAAGTGACTTTTGTTGGGTTTAATAGTCCCTTGGGAAATTATGAAGGGGTAACCTGATTACCCCTTGCCACATAAGCATTTTCTCTTGACCCCACTTCCCTTATTTCTTTGAATACCCAGAATTTGGATCGTTCCCCTGCAAATCCAAATCGACACACCTATGATTTAATTTAAAACATGAACCTCATTATGATGATAAAATCATATGAAAAATATTTGAAATTAATTACACAAGCGATAGGGCCATTCGGATCGAGATCCATGGAGGTGAATTGGACTTGTAGATGTGGATAGAACCGGTGGTGGCTTGGCCTACAGTGGCAAGCAACGATGGCTTTGACAATGGTGGCGAGAGGTGATTACTTGGATGGTAACACTCAACTCTGATCATGATGTCGTGAAAGAGTAGTCACGTTCAATTAGGATCTTCATTAGGTCGTCGGTCTGGCAAGGATCGTAACCTTCGTAGATCGGAACAGTATGACTCACACCATTGCCGAAATCCAAAAAGGAAGACGATCAGAAGATACTTACCCGTTGTACGACCACTGGCATAGAGAGAAAGAATAGCTTGAATTGCGGCATACATAGCAGGAGTATTGAAAGTTTAAAACATGATTTGTGTCGATGTGGTAATCCTGCTCCGCAAAGGAACTTTTCCAGGTGGTGGTGGTATCGGGAAGGGTGGCGGTGTCGGTAGTACCACCGCCCCTCTTTCATCTTCGTTTAATTCCGATAAAAGGTAAAATTTAATCGCGACTTGTTACTCTTTCAATATGTTTATGTGAATTTAAGGGCTTGGTTTTATTTGTTTTAATGCTTTCACATCTGGTATTGTTTCATAGCTTTAAGGGATATGGTACACAAGGTCACAATGAGAGTGGTTTAGTTTGTCTTTCGGAGCCATATGATTGTTATTATTGCCATATCAATGTTGACATATGTCACATGTGTTTCAAATATAGTGAATATATGTTATATAGGTTACTTCAGGTGAAGGTGACTAAGGTGTTTGTTTTTTTATCTGCAAATCTTTCTTGACCTCTTCTGTCTACGCCACGCATATCACATGCAGACGTTAGGCTTCGCAGACTATTTGTTTTTTGAAGACTACAGACCTAAAAATGTTTGCACGTCCTCTTCTTGGTGCAAATGTGGACCTAAGTCTTCAAACCTCTTTCAGACATCTTCTGGCCTATAAAAGCACATATTTTTGTTTGTTATTTTATTTTTGTTTTTTTTTAAACTTAGATTTATTCCAACTTCATCTATAATAAACAATTTTTAATAAAAAAAGTTACAATACTTAAAGAAAAAATGTTCGACGACACAATCATAATTTTTGAGATAAATTATAAATAAAGATTTAATTACAATAATGGTCATTGGAGTTGTTTATATATATATGAAAAAAAAAATCTTAATATTGTCTAATATTTTTGTGCCAAATTTTATAAAAACATTAATTTAATGCAATATCATTCATTTTTTGGGAAAAATAATTATGCCTAGTTTTTAATTGATTGAATTGAAAAGGTAAAATGAAAATTTTAAAAATTTTCATCTAAAATCAAAGTTTATTTCCATCCATTTTATTTGTTAAATTCTTTTATCGTTAATTATGACGTTTAGGTATAACTTTACGACCAAAGTTTGTCGGTTTTTATCAAATATATACGTTAATTTGTACCATTTTATTTTCACTTTTTATACAATAATACATAAAAAGTTGATCTACATTTGTTAATTATCTATAATAAATTCATAAAATTATTGAAAAACTCTTTTAAGTTTTTTTTTAAATCAGTTTAATTAAATTTTAGTTTATTTTAACAGTCTGCAGATGTTAAAAAACAAACAATCTTCTTTCTGACTACAGACGTTTGGTCCACCTCTTCTACTGCAGAGGTCTGCAGATGTGGTCCGTGGACTGCAGTCAGAAAAAACAAACACCTAAAAAAGGAAGTCAGCATCCACTTTATACCCCTATAAAGCAACAAAATAAATTTAGGAACTGAATTGACCAACTTTGGAAACATTGTAGGGTTTTTCTGTCATTTCCACTAAGTTTTAAACCATGGATAGTTCACACAAAGTGTTAGATGAAACAACTCAATGAAATTTGTAAATTTTAAGTTGTGAGTGTATAGTTTTCTTGTATTTAAATTGTGAATGTTGTTTGAATCTATGAACTTTTTTGTGTAACATGTGAATGATGAATATATTAACGCAAGTTTTAGCTGTGAATATATATTTTTGTATTTAAACTGTGTATGTGTTTGTGTGTGTATATATATATATATATATATATATATATATATATATATATATATATATATATATATATATACTGGTTATTTGTTTACTTTAATAGAAAAGTGAATAGAAAGGTGAAATGAAGGTTTGTGGGTTTTCTTAAGTTTTTTGTAGATTTATATGATGAATTTGTATAAGGTTTGTTAAACCAATAAAAAAAAGATATATACGATATATGGAGGAAGCTTACCCCAAGGAAGAATAGGAAACTCCCATCTTTGTTTAGGAACTGTGATCACATACGAGGCAACCTGCACGACGAATAATAACTATCTTTTTGGATTACACAAAATATTTGCAAATTTTACTCCGATAAATAAAGCATGTTTTTTTTGTATTAAAAAGTAGTAAGAAACATGCCAGGATTGATGCAGCAAGAGAATGAGGAGAATTATAAAGAGTTGATGTCTCCTCTTTTTCGTAAAGAAGATCCATAATGTCCATGCATACTTCAAAATCCAGATGCTCTCCAACTGTTGCAACCTCCCTAAACTCAAACAAGAAATATTATTATTAATTAATCAGTGAATCTAACAAAAAGTAGTTACCAAATGAAAAAACAAACTTGAAACCAGTCACTCACTTCAACTGAATAAGTAGGTCTTCAAGAAACCTGTAGACAATATCTAATGTACCAATCTCATAACCCAAGACCTTCATTCATGGTGCCAAATAATGATGTCATTAAAAAAAAAGTAACAGGGCCTTATTGTACAGAGAGATAGATATAGTATAAAAATTTACCTTCATGAAGATCACTTCCTGCACAATTTTTTCATCTATTGCTATCAGAATCGCAACCATAAAGATTGAAAAAATAATAATGATAATAAAATTAGCTTACAGCTTCTGCAAAATCTCTAGTTGTATAATGCTGCTCTTGTATTATTTTGTCTGCCAGATTTTTCAACTTTTTTACCGATAAGGGACGAGAATCATCAATCTGCAAGTGGTTTTAAATTTATTAGAAAAAAAAAACGAATATTTTTTAATTATTGTAAAGATATAATAGAGTTTATTTGAAGTAATAAAAGTGTAGGTTGAGGTAACATTAACATACTTTGCTTGAGATCCATATTGCAATAAGAGAAAACAGCTGAAGATTACTTTCTCTTACTGGTTGTAAAAGCCAATGTCCAGTGCTCTCCTGCTCAATTCTGTTCAAGGAGAAAACTAAAATAATAAAACAACCAAACATTTCACATAAACGATGATAATTAAATTAAAATTTAAATTTTAACCATTTAGAAAAATAACTCTAAACATATAAAAGCATGTTGTTACTTCTTGCATTTAGCTTAATATTTGCCTATTTCATTGGGTTATGCTAAATCGAAACCTTTGTCCACCACAGGACTTGAACCCTTAACCTTTTGGTTTGAGGAGCACCTTTCAAATAGGCCAAAGGCGCTCTTTGGTTATTATGCATATTTAATTAATCATCACATGCCAGAAATACCCCTTAAATAATAAGACAGAATTGATAAAACTTATGGAGCAAGGTTTATCTCACTAGTATCTTGTACATGTTTGATGAAACTTTAAATAGGAATCCTATTAAAGAAAGAAACATTCATGAAACTATGAAAGGGCTTCCCTTAATAACAACATTTAGAAAATAAGACAAGTAAGCTGATATAACACTTGGTTCGCAAGGAATTTAAATATGTCAAAAGAAATTGGAATCTCAAAGAATAGAATTCTATCAAATGATTGGTTGGCTGAGCATTTGTGAGGGAGAAGAGAGAAAGAGCAAGAGGAGTTTACTTGAGATATTTAAGGATAAAAGGGTATTTGAATGTTTTTTGATAAGGAGGAAATGTTGGGAATTGCATTCCATGGGTTTTAGGATGGAATTTTGATATCCATGGGTCAGAAGAGAAGACTTTGTACATTCATCATTTGCAATAAAAAACGAGATTAGAATGGAATTGAATTCCAATAGAATCCGGTGAACCAGACGCTTCTAACATTTAATCTGTTAACATGATATAAACTCCATAACCGAATCACAACTGGCCTTGTAACATGTTACTTAAATAAGTAAAGGGTAAGGGCAGAGAAAGTTCTGTCAAACTAAACCGTTAATGATGGTAATGTTGACTAATATATACCTTATTTTTTAATCAATATAGGAATTCACAGATGGCAATGACTTGATTTACACCTCTATGCCTCTCACCATGGATGATCGATAACTAGGGTTTTTAAGACCACGTTATTTACGCAGCTAGGGTTTTGGATTGATTCAGATATGATAACAATGAGGAAATACAACTACTGATAACTGACTGATCTCGATATTGACTTTTTCAGTTGCAGACTTCAATTACAGAGAGAAAGATGTAAAACATAAATTACCTGGAGACAATCGGATAGAATCTTTCGGCAAAGAGGGATAATGCAGAGTACTTGACAACGGGAGGAACTTCAAGTTGCTGTTTGTATGATACAATTTATTCATAATTAAAAACGGACATATATCAAGCAAAAATGGCGATCTGATGAGGTTTACGAATGATTACTTGAGCGGATTGGATGAGGAAATCTAGTACGCGGATTCGTACAGTTGAACACAACTCGTTCGTCATAATTTGGCCCGGGAATGGATCAGCGAATCGGGATGGAGGGAAACTCAAATTAGAAGATACATATAGGTCCGGGTCGGGTACCCGGCTAATTTGATAAGACCGGAAGAGGAATTGCCGGTTCTGGATCCAATACCGGGTATGAACCAACTCAGTCCAAATCAGGTTGAACCGGTTAGAATCGGTTTAAACTTGGACCGTTTTAAAAAATATATATATACTATTAACTTTGAATTCCCTTAAACATATAAGAAAATTCCTAGAAAGCTTCTTATTTGTAAAAAGTAAATGAAAGAGGCCTTGAAGGATATGAGGCATGGAGTTCATTTATATAGCAAATGGGGAAGAGCAAACTTTTGTCTAATTGGCGATCTGAGATGAGAATAATACATGAAGTTGTCATCTCCTTCTCTCACTTTCTTTTCATAATAACATAATTACATATTTACACATTAGTCAATGAACAAACAATATGTAATTCATGGTCAATCAAAATAATATATATTAAAGAACATTACGTTATATTTGGTGAAATTGTTCGCCCCATTTGATTACATATATATAACCTCTTTCTTTGATTTTTTTTTTCGTATAATATTAATAAGAAAACATGTCCCTAACTTCATGCATAAAATCAGAATATTTTACTTATTTTAATGGTAAAAATGTTATAATAATTCAATGTGTTTTTAACATTAGATGTGCTCAAAGACTATTTCATATACTTTGATGATAAAATGTTCCATGTGTATCTATTACAATAATGTTGACGAGATCTTCACCATATTGCTTTATACAATTGATTTGCTCAAGTCAATATACTAACGAAAAAATGTTGCTACTGTATTAGGAATTGTGCCCCAATAATTCTCTTCGAAATGATATCACTTCTCTCTTACATATGTGATTCAAATAGAATCATTAAAAACTAAATTTTGATTATTTTCATGTTAGCATCAAAGCCTATTAGCTTAAATTATATCATTGTTCTTCATATGAATGGGTTGGGATTATCCCAATTGTGATCCAATTTTGTTATATGCAATTAAGTTTTCCCTTTTGAAACTAGATTTTAGGATCTTCGGTCAACTTAGGTTGGGAATGTTTACTATCATCAATATGGTTATGGCTACAACATAGTCACTTTTGAATATCTCTATAATTGTGTTAACTTAATACATTAAGCATACATACATGTATTTATGAATTCACATTGGTCAGATATAATTATGAACCTACCATATATGAGTCTCCTTGCCAATATCATATTTTTAATGCAATTTTTACGTTAACCATTTGCATGTAATGGTTAAGACATCCTCTCGCAAAGATCCTATTATGCCTTTATCAAGGTAGTCATAAATAGGTCAATGTGGGACTAGCCCACTTTGTAGAGTTGGAAAGCCTCTTAGATAGGAGGTTTCATGTTCAAATCCGAGTGTAAGTGAATTAACTAACTCCATGAATTTAACTTCTAATCATTAACCAACAGTTCATAAAAAAAATCATAAATAGAATAATCTTTATATTACCATTTATATGGAACCACTTCACCGCAAATATTAATGTTGAATCCATACTTCAACATGACATATTCACATTTTTGATACTATTGTTTTAAAAGTTTGCTTCAAGTCACATTGACTTCACAATTTTACACACTTTTATTTTACCATCCGAAAACATAGTCGTTGGGTAGTTCATGTAGATTTATACTTTTAAATCTATGTTTAAGAAGTTTCAGTTTCATATGATATACTTCTAAATTTTTAGAAGTTACACCCAAATATCATTATAAAAATAAGATCATACAAATTAAAGTATTCAAAGCATTCTTATGTTTGCAATCCAACCATGTACTTCAAAAATGTCATCGGCTCTTATTTGAACCTTAGTAATTTCTTTCTTACAGAAAACTCAGTAGTTCAACGATAGAAACATTATTAGTTTTTAGCGAATTGCATTAAGTTATGCTTTGGGAACAGCTGCATGTGAGATGATCAAACTTAATCATGTTGGTTGATACCCACGAAAAAATGTCATCTTTTAAAACGCAAAAGAAAAGTAGTTCATGAATTTAAGAGATCTCGTGAATGGCCCGTAAATTCACTTTATGTAGGGGAAAAATGATCTCACAAATGCGTAGGATAATTTTCACGAATTGAATGTCATTTTATTGTAAATCTTAGGATATCACATTTAGCACATAAATTATTTATAAAATAAATAAAATGAACAACAAAAATTATACCACCTCTACCCATTGTCTCCACTCTCCATATATATCATTTACAATTGTGTTGTTAATTACTTACTTCACAAAAGGAATCCCAACTTCTTAATTAATTAAATTCATTTACAATTGTTATGTTGTGTAAAATGTAAATCCAACTTCTTAATTAATTAAATTCAAATCCTCCACACATTGCAATTGTATAGAAAGGTTAGACATTTACAATGTGTTGTTAATTACTTACTTCACAAAAGGAATCCCAGACCAAACCCGTTGAGCATAAGCATCATGTTCCAACCCAAAAAACTGTTTCAAGAAAAACTCCTCATATGGGATTCTATTATGGAAGAAATCCCAAAGGATTATAGCAAATGCAATGGTTGACACAGGGTTACACAACATAATCTGAGTGCCTACAGACCAAATCAAGAAACCACTGTACCCTGGATGACGGATTATGCCATAAATCCCATAAGTGATTAATTTGTGATCATCTTCATGGTATCTTTGAATAATATGAGAAAAAGCCTTTCCAGCTGTTAAAATGGCAAGCTTCCTAATGGTTTCTCCAAGAATTACTAACATAAGCCCCGTGTTGCTTATTGACCAATTGTTTTTTAAATTAGGGAAGAAGTGTAGTTCGAGTAGGTATTCTAGCATGGATAAGATCATTGCTAAGAGGTAGTCTTTGCTGATTAAAAGAGACTCGATTGTTACTTTGGATTTCCCATGACATGCAATTGCTAAAAGGTATTCCGAGGCATGAAAGAAGAATACCGCATACAAGAGTTGGGATAATTGTCTCTCAGATGTGTCCTTCAATATTTCTGTCATTTCTTCAACAAAGGCTATTGCCTATTAAGGGTTTACTTCAGACCTGAAAAGGAGAAACAGCTTTACATCACTGATTATAATGTTAGAAAGATGATTATTGTAATTCATATACGGTGATTGAGTTACATGCAGTGTATTTATGTTTTTTTCTTGAAAGAGAAGATGAAACAAGCATAATCAATCCAGTTCCCTCTGACACATTCTAACTTTCTCCAGAAATACGCAGTCGTGAAGCAAGGAATCAACTTTTTTTTTCTTTCGTTTTTGCAAGAACAATGAGCGAAATTGAAATGATTATCAGCTCTAAAATTAACACGAAGCTTAAGTTCATAAATTGTGCGTTTATATAAACACAAATGCACAAATTTCTGACTCGGAACATCGGAACCTAATTAATTCAAGCATTTAATCTCCAAAAACGAGTATAAAGAGCTTAATAAAGAAGAAAAACATCAAAAGAGATCCAGTAAACGCAACGGACCTAAACCTAGAAGAAATGTGGATTCTATTTTTGTAATCAAACAAACATTTATACATGGCAATTCGCGTTACGAAAAAAGGAGGGAAATACTTACACAAAAGAAGTCAGGGATGGATCGAATTGAGAAAAGATCGAGTGTAATACTGTAGAAGAATAGTAAAAGCGTCGCCGCTCCGAGTAGCCTCCGATGAGAGCCTGAAGCGCCACCGTGGCTGGCATCCGTCGTAGATGGAGAGAGAGAGAGAGAGAGAGAGAGAGAGAGAGGTGGTGAGATTAGTTTTGGAGAAGCCAAATACAGTTTGCAATGAAAAAAAAATGACCCTTGAAGTTCTATTAATGCAAAAAGCGCCCATATTTAAATTTAATAAGAAGCTAATTCTTATTTGAAAACTAAAAGGACCAAAAGTGTAATTAAATCATTTAAAAAAGTACCATAGCTTGATTTTATACCACTTGCTAAATGTAATACAGAAGTACCATAGCTTGATTTTACACCACTTGGTAAATGTAATATAGTATAATATAATTGTTAAAACCATGTATAAAAATGAGGATGTAAAATATAAAAAGTTGTAAAATGAATTATAAAAAGGTTAAAAACAAAGTTATATAAAGATTTGAACCAAATTTGTAATATATATATATATATATATATATATATATATATATATATATATATATATATATATATATATATATTAAAAATTAGCAAGAAACTACAAAAGGGGGGAGGGGGGGGGGGGTTACACCAAATTTATAAACTTTTTCTAAAATTAGGCTAAATATATAAAACTTAAAACCTTATAAAAATAAAAACAGAGTTATATAAAGATCTGGACCAAACCTGTAAATAAAATAAAAGGTAAACATAAACTAAATTAAAAAAAAAACAATAAAAAAATGACCAATTTAATAAACTTTTTCAAAATTGGGCAAATATATAATGTGTTATCTAGATTTCATAGGGAAACACGTAAGATGTGTATCCTCTACTCTGGTTCATGAAAATATAAATTAAAAGTTTTCTTGTGATTTGTTCAACACAGGGTACTACTATCTAAACACACTGCGTACAAACTCATTCATCGGTCTTTTGAAAAAATGTTTTTGATGGTCATCTACCCTCAAAATGAACCATACATGTACCCTATTCCTTACTCGATCCACTATTTGCTCCAGTTTTGAACTTCCTCCATTGAATACGTTGTGATGGCAGGGTCTTCTAATACAAAGACTCATGCATTGGTCAAAATTATCTCTTCTATCGGGTTTCATGGTTTCGTCACGAATTTCTCACTGCTTAGAGCAACCATTTTTCTAAGATGGAACTGAGAGAGGTAAAAATCAGGTTTGAAAGTTCGAAAGAAAGATTTGAAAATGATAAGGAATGATAGTAAACATGGGTATTTAATGCTAATTGCTTGACATTATTTATATTCTATAAAATCATAAATATGCCATCAATACATCATTTAATATTTCGATATAATCAATGTTTAAAAACCGGTTTGAACCGGCCGGTCGAACCGGTTGGACCGGGAACCGGAGGAGAGAGCGGTTCAACTATCACCGGTTTTATGTCGATTTTTGAACCGGATTGAACTGGCCGGTTTTTAGAAAAACCCGGTTGAACTGGTTAAACCGAATAAAAACACATGGGAATGAACCATTTTCATAATAAACTTTAGTGATTTTTTTTCAAATCTATTTAGTTTTATCTAAATAAAAACATATGGTAAATGTTATAAAGTTTTTTTGGTGTGTTTGTATTCATCTAAAACTATATTTTATATATATTATTTTCTTTTTGACGTATATGGATTGATATAAAACACTAAAACTTAAGGTTATGTGTTATTTTAATGTATTTGAATTGATCTACAACTTATTTTTATGTATATTTTTAATATTTGAACTACTAACGTCAAATTCATGATTTATATATGTATGTATGTGTAGGAAAATAAAAAATAAAAAAAAAGATGAAAATTATAGAACCGGTTGACCCGGCGGTCGAACCGGGAACCGGTCACCATACCGGTTCAACTAAAAAACTAAAACATTGGATATAATGCCTATAACATTCTAAAAAGTTTTTTAGTTATGCATATATTTACTCATCTCTTACTCCATATATAATGAATTTATGTCGATGCAAGTGTGATAGAAAAATCGCTCGTCAATGGCACCCATGAAAACCTCATTTTTATTGCTAGTTTTTTGTATTGTCACAATAGATGCATTCCCAATTGCTAAGGTCCTGTTTGATAGTTGCTGACTGAGAAAGTGCTGACTGAGAAATGTCTGTCTGGGTAAGAAATCATGACTGAGAAAGAAACCATGTTGTTTGATTCTACGTCTGACTGAATGGCCTGACTAATAAAAAATGACCATTTTACCCTTTGCTCTATACAGTGATATAAATTACACACAAATCCTTTAAAAATTCCAAATAAAAATTATAAAAAAAAAATCATTGTTTTTACAAAGTTATAAATAAATTCATTGTTGTTCAACAATTCAAACAATTTATTCATTGACCAAAATTGATACAGAACAACAGTTTACATAAGAATAACACTTTGACCAAATTGCCCCAGCTCCATTTTTATTCCAGACCATTCCATGAGCATAGAATTTTGACCATATGTCTTGTAAAAAACAGATCCTCTCATCAATATCTTCAATAATCTACTAATTTTGAATTTCTTGATCCAGAAAAACCAATTGAGAACCAACAATGTTCTTGCACATGGATCCATCATAGATACAAAAATAGGCATGCTAAATATTCATCACTACTCATCTAGGTGATTAACATCCAAACAGTCATGTAGAAAGTACCACGTGTTTGCATACAAGATTCTGCCTTTTCCACCCTTGTTAGTGTCTACATCAAATCTCCTATATTGCCCGTATTCTGATCGAGGATATGCTATAACAACAACATCATGCTTGAAGTAGTTGTTATGGAAAAATATATATTCTTTTCTTGTCTTAGCCATTCCTACAGCTGCAGAAAAATAAGTAAACAATTGAGATACAGAGCTTATAAACAAGGGACAAGCAAACAAATATATACAAGCACTACCCTTTTCAAACATATCAATTTTACAAAAATGCAAAATGTTAAAAGTAAAAGGCGTTCACCATGACATATTCATAATCCTAGGGATCGTAAAAGTGAACAAGATTTCATGGGGGTATCAACTGACGACTACAATATTAATACCCCAATACTCCATAGTCCATACCATGAAATGGTTACTGTAGCATAAAGCTCCTGTTTCAAATAGATGAATGGCTCGATATTTTTAAACTCAAACCAATCATAGGAAAACTCAAAGGTAACCCATTTTTTATCTGAATGTTCGAAGGTCTCCGGCCGGTGACTGATGGCATACGGCGATGAGCAGGTGAAGGAGGAGAATTCGTCGAATTCGGTGGAGCTGGACGCCGGCAGTGGAGATGCAGAGAAGCGTCGGCAGAGGTGCTAGGCGGAGCAGGGGCAGAGGTCCGATCGGCGACCTCTGTTTGACGTCCAATTGAAGATACGATGTGGAGTTGTATGCGGCTGTGTTTTTAGGTCAGGATACGATGGAAGAAAGAATAAAGAGGGAGGGGTAGGATCGTCTAATGTCTCAGTCAGCGATTGTTAAGATACTGAGCGAGAAAGCGATTGGGCCAGCCAATCTTACCGAGAAAGCAACAATTCAAACACTTATGGTCTGACTGAGTCAGCCCAATTCTCTGACTCGACCCAGTCAGACCTTTATCAAACACACCCTAAGTCAGAAAACAAGGTTTGTCTAGTAAGATGGACTATGTATATCATCGATGGGATAGGTGATCCTATCAATGTTCATGTACAATCACATGATGATGATCTTGGAGTTCGCACACTTGTACCCGGAGCTAATTTCAACTGGACTTTCTGTGTGAACTGGAATTCATCCACTCTATTTTACGCTCATTTCTACTGGAATTCTAAAGAATCTTTTTTTAATGTTTTTAGTATGTCCATTAGTAAGCAATATTGTAGGAATGATAAGTATTTGAAACCACAACAATGTTTTTGGTTAATTAGAGAAGATGGGTTTTATTTGTCCCAACTAAATAATCCGTTTCCACAAGGATGGACAAAGGTACATGATTGGTCATCTTGACTAATTATTTACTTTTAGTTTATGTATTAAAATATATTATAAAGAAATAAAATTAATTTCATCTAATTTTGAGTGTATGAGTGAGGATCGTATCCTAAAACAATAATGCATACAACTGGTGGGGATTCTCCATGGGTTGTGGCGGTTTATTAATCTTGTATTTTAGTTACTTAAAATGTAGAGAGGTAGAGAGAGATAGAGAGAAAGAAGTTCATTTGATATGGTGGTTCGTCTTCCCCACTACAATTGACCATGAAATTTTCAACCACTAGCTACCACTAAACACTCGGGGTGGTGTTCACAATAGTGGTTCGTAGCCAGGTAGACCACGAAGAGTTTCATGGCCTGTATAC